CCCCAAAACCCCAAAACCCCAAAACCCCAAAACCCCTTCGTCAAAGGTAAATTTTGATAAAATATTGTTAAAAATTTATTTTTCATAGAAATATGGAAGTATTTACAAACCCCATGGCTTTCTCAAGTAACCTGAAGCGAGGTAAGCTTGAATTGGAACCTTTAGATATGATCCATGTTAAGAGAAAGAGGCCAACAAAAAGTGCCCATGACCATCCTCATAACTGTTACAATGAAATATCCAAGAAGGTAATTATCAGTTATTCTCATTAACAGAGCAAGAAGAAAACTTACAGGATCTCTAGAAAAGTTGACCTACAGACCATAAGGGATCATATTGATCCGGACTCTATAGAGTCCTTCATTGATAAGGAAAGGACTTATTCAAGTAAGAATCCAAAATTCTAGCGAAATTAGCCAAATGTCTTAATAACTTGTGCCTAGCGTCCAAAAATCTGTTGAAAAATGTGAAAGACAAAAGCTTGATCCAAGAACGGTCAATTTGAGGTCAACTGGACTCATTCCATAAGGTATGTAAATGAAGCACAACCTCTAGGTTGCGAAAGAGCGAGAAAGGGTAAACTCAAAATACTCACTCAAGAATATGTCCAAAATACTTAGGAGCAAATATAAGCAAGGCAAGGGGCGGAGTTCAACCTCCTCATTTAGAGATCTGGGCTTGAATGCTGTTTCAGGGCTTAAAAAGAATGCTAAAGCTTTCAAAAACGATAAAGAGAAGGTACCCATCAGTGACGAACAGATTGATCACATGATCACTCGAAACATGAGGCGCTTCAACAGTGAGAATTATGATGAAGCCCCAATTACATATGAAGAGAAATTAATGCAGTCTAAATACTCCAGATCTACCCAAAAGTACTAAGAGAAAGCATGCAAATTTTGGAGAAAGCAGAACAAAGAGATCTCCAAGAAGGTCTCTAGAAAGGGCAAAACCCAGCACCTCTTGATGAAGCGTTCTGAAAGCTACAGAAGAAAACGTGAGATTATCAACCAAGTAGAGAATAAGAAGAGTCTTCCAGATCGGTTAGGTCCAAACTTATGGAAAATGACGCTTCGAGCTGGCAATGAGGTTCGAGTTTCTGACCTCAAGAAGATAATGAAAAAGACTCTTGAAGAGGACAAATCTGATGAAGATAAGGAGAATACAAAGCAACCTCCAAGAACTAGCAATACACAGACTTACACTCAAGACGTTGGAAAATCAGTTAAATTCAGTGATGATGGATCCCTTACGAAGAAATAAGTCGACTCTGTTCCTAGACAACTCTTGGGTGGGAACAGCCACCAAAATTTGTATCAACGACAGAGTCCAAAAGAAGAGGAAAAAGTTGTATAAAAATACCTTTAGCGAAAGCATGGCTACTCACTATTCTACAGAGCCAGGTATGAGCAAGTCAGGGGTATACCCCACTGAGGTTATCTGGGGTAAGAAGAAAGATGACATTATCATCAGGAATATCCCCCCACAACCCGGAAAGACAGAAAAAGACTCTGATATCTCCTGTGATTACGTATCTCTTCCCAAGAGTTTCATGCTGAAGTACCATGAAGTCAACAGGAAAAGGAACAAAAGTGTAAATAGCCTTCTCGCTTACATCATTTTTTTGAACATTTAGCCATGCTTGTTGGTCTAAAAGTTTTAGAAATTAACAAACCTCATGATTTTATAGACTCCTGGAGCGATCATTCGACCTGAAAGTGCAGGAGAGTCGAAACAGCCTCAATCTTTGTGAAAGTACGACAATAAAGGAAAGATAGAACTTGATGAAATATCAAATATTTATATTACAGGGAACTCTAAATTTGAAAGCGAATGAGCTTATGTAAACAACCTCGCTGGGAAAAAGTACCTTATCAGGAATCATTTCAAGACGGAATATGGAGAAGGAGAGCCTCCAGAAGATGAAGAGGTAATAGCTTTTCACAAAGAATAGCCTTCAATTTTACTAAAATTATTTGGGGTTTTGGGGTTTTGGGGTTTTGGGG